TGCTCATGGGAATAAAGGACGTGAGAAGTGAATGGAGAAGGCGATGTGAACTGGACTCAATAACAGTATTGCTGTCCACTCTTAAAGGCGAAGCCTATGCGTACTCCAAGTTTTGTCAAATACAGCGTCGATAGATCAGCCAAAAACAATGCCAAGTCAAAGGGCATATTAGCAACCTTGGTCTCAAGATTTTTCTAACTCTCGCGTAGGCAAATATATTGCACAATGCATTTCCGAATACGACATCATAAAATAAGGGGAATTGAGACAGTGTTTTTAAAATCGTATGTATTTATTAATGCTGGTCAGAAAAAGGAGCATTAATCATGCTGTATACAATATAATTATGATCGTGATATGTGACCCTATTAAAATTTTGAGTTGCGCAGAATACGTTGCATGAGCTACGGAGCGCAAGATGCCGCAAAGTGGAAATCTGGGCCAGTTGGTTCATGATCAGAATATAAAGCACCAAAAAAAACGACAGGACGAGGAGGAGAGTAAACAGTACGAAGCGCACTCGCAACTAAAGTTTATTTATGAAAGAAAAAAACACATACTATATAGGCCGTTAAAGACGCCTATTCATCACATCAATCGATAAGACCCCTTGATAAAATCAAGCTCTTTCCCTGAGAAAGCAAGGGAAGGTTCACTGACGCATTCGTCTCCCTTTGCCCTAATCTCAAAGGCCTCGTGCACTTCTCGGCATGTTTTATTTTTATCTTTCGCCAGAAGCTTTACATCATGCAGAACTGGTGAGCACGGGCACCGACTACAATGAACAGCTAGATTACCAGACGGGCTTGCCCTCAGAGCTGTCGCATGTTCCCGTGCACAATCATTGACACATCTACCAGTTTGGCCGATGTACACGGAGCCGCAAGTCAGCGGAATTTCGTACACCATTCCGACGGCAGATTCAGCTTATTTGGTCCGGTGTTTTGTGCTGCAATGCTCCATATCTGGCTGGGGATTATTGATTTTGCGGCACCAGCGTACCATTTTTTCCGGGGCTGAAAATACTACGGGTACTCTAAATCGCTGTGCAACTTTCTTTAAATTATGGGACATGGCATGCAAGTACGGAATAATTACCGGTCTCATTTTTGGCTTCTCTCTCGCCCGATTAGTTGCCCCTTTGAATTTTTTTTTTAACAATCCTTCCGCAACCTCAGTCAGGCATCTTCGTGGGAAACCTGCCTGTTGCAGGCGCAAAATCTGTAAATTAAAGCTATTGCGCAGAATGTTCGCACGATCGTTTTAGGACCGCCTCCAAACACGTGCTAGCAATGCCCCATTTTACTAATTTTGAATGGGCAGACTCGTACGGCAGGTAGCGTTTCTTAGATCTTCTGGACGTACATATCACCTTGAAAGGAAACATACGTGTGTGATAGATAGAAAGATAACAGTTCCAAAAAACTTACCGCACTGATGGCACTCGAGTTGGCAAACGACACTTCGCGTTCTGCTCTACGCATTTTCTAACCGCCGAGAAGATATGGTCGTGCGGGATAGAATAAATAAGATCTTCCACATCCAAAGAAAAATCACTACGCATCCCACTAGCGTCTCCCTTCAAATAATCATTAATCGTTTCCGAATTTTTAACCAAGAAAGGGTCGTGTAGTTCCAAGCACGACACGTGTTTGGCAAGTAAGCCGGACAGCTGGGGTTGCCAAGATCCCCTTTCGGTAACAATCGCTCTAAAAGGAATACCCATGTTATGCGTGTTGGCAGAAAAGGAAAGGTCTAAATAGAGTCCCTTGCTAGATTGCACAGATTTCAGAAGACCTGGGAGGTTCATTTCACTGCAAAGTTGCTTACCGCGTGTCTTAGGTTTGGTAAAAGGTCCCGGACTCACTTTCTTGAAGTTCTTGAGAACAGCCTGTTGAGCCTTCTCATGGTACAAGTCCCACGGAGCCACTACAAAGCCACCCTCCATGTCTGACGCGAGCCGTTTTAAGTCTTGGTCTTAAAAGTAGACTACGATGTGCGACGTTTTCTGGCACCTCACAGCGAGGTGCCAGAAAAAACGAGGGGAACCATGGCAAGAACAGGTTGCTACAGTGGGGATGTTGTACTTCCCCCTAACATCAAGTCAGCACTGGACAAGGGACCCAAGTTCAGCCAGGAGCCCAACCTGCGACCGGTCGCCAAGCTGGCACTCTTAAGATGTATAGCGGAGAAAGCAAGCCCTGAATACAAGGAAAAGTGCGTGGTGGACGGAGTTGATGTGCTCTTGCGTACTTCGGGGAAAGCTGTGAGGTGCCAGAAAACGTAACGCATCGTAGACTACTTCAAGAACCAAGACTTCAAAATTGTTTACGTCAAACATGGAGGGTGGCTTTGTAGTGGCTCCGCGGGACTTGAACCATGAGAATGCTCAACAGGCTGTTCTCAAGAACTTCAGGAAAGTAAGTCTGGGACCTTTGACCAAACTTAAGACACGCGCTAAGGAACTTTGCAGTGAAATGAACCTTCCAGGACTTCTGAAATTTGTGCAATCTAGCAAGGGACTCCATTCAGCCACTTTCTTTTCTGGCAAGACGCATAAGACAGGTATTCCTTTTAGAGCGATTTTTACCGAGAGGGGATCTTTGCAATCCCATCTGTCCGGCTTTCTTGCTAAACACCTGTCGTGCTTGGAAAGGGACACGCTAGTGGGATGCGTTAGTGCTTTTTCTTTGGATGAGGAAGATCGTTTTGATTCTATCCCGCACGAGTCACGACCATATCTTTTCGGCAGTTAGAAAATGCATAGAGCAGAACGGCGAAGCGTCGTTTGCCAACTCGAAGTGGCATCAGTATGGAGAGTTTTTTGGAACTGTTATCTTTCTATCTATCGCACACGTATGTTTCCTTTCAAGGTGATATGTACGTCCAGAAGAAGGGCGTCTGCATCGGGTCGTGTGTCGCGCCGGTGCTATTCGATATTTTCTTAAGTAAATGTGACAACAACGTTGCGGAGAGGCTGGGGCACGACAACAGGATGAAGATTTATAGGTACATTGATGATTACCTTGTGTTCAGCGAATCGGCAGAGGGATCGCTGGATGGCGCTGTATCCCAGATGCTCGACGTGTTTTTCTCGTGTTCTGGAAGGCTGAGGTTTACTCACGAGAAGCCGGTAGAAGGGACACTATAGTTCCTAGACCTAGAACTACGCTTTCTGGAGAGCCACATATGTTGGGCGTACGAGCCAAGATCTAAGAAACGCATCCTGCCGTACGAGTCTGCCCATTCAAAATTAGTAAAAAGGGGCTTTGCTAGCACGTGTTTGGAGGCGGCCCTAAGACGACCTTGCGAACCTTCTGAGCAATACAGCTTTAATTTACAGATTTCGCGCCTGCAGAAGGCAGATTTTCCATAAAGATGCCTGACTGAGGTTGCGGAAGGATTGTTAAAAAAATTCAAAGGGGCAACTAATCGGGCGAGAGAGCAGCCAAAAATAAGACCGGTAATTATTCCGTACTTGCATGCCAAGTCCCATAATTTAAAGAAAGTTGCACAGCGGTTTAGAGTACCCGTAGTATTTTCAAGCACAGAAAAATATGGCACGCTTGTGCCGCAGAATCAATAATCCCCAGCCAGACATGAAGCATTGCAGCAAAAAACACCGGACCAAATATGCTGAGTGTGCCGTCGGAGTGGTGTACGAAATCCCACTGACTTGCGGCTCCGTGTACATCGGCAAGACTGGTAGATGTGTCAATGATCGTCCACGGGAACTTGCGGCAGCTATGAGATCAAGCCCGTCTGGTAATCTAGCTGCTCATTGTAGTCGGTGCCCGTGCTCACCAGTTCTGCATGATGTGAAGCTTCTGGCGAAAGATAAAGATAAAATATGCCGAGAAGTGCACGAGGCGTTTGAGATTAGGGAAAGGGAGACGAATACGTCAGTGAACCTTCCCTTGCCCTCCCAGGGAAAGAGTTTGATTTTATCAAGGGGTCTTATCGATTGACGTAATGAATAGGCGTCTTTAACGGCCTATATATTATGTGTTTTTTTCATAAATAAACTTTAGTTGCGTGCACCTCGTCCTGTTTACTCTGCTCTTTGTCCTGTCGTTTTTTTGGCGCTTTATATTCTGAGCGCAAGATGCTTATGATGGGGCAATGGTTAATAAAGAGTATGTGCTAAAACTTAATTGCCTCTAAATTGCGGTTTGGGGCTGTGTACTGGAGCATACTGAAACAAAATACTTATTTTTTATTCGTAGTTAGCCTAAAAAATTAAGCATGTTGAATAATAGCTATCTTCTCACATGATATTTATTCGTGGAAATTTATCGTTTTTATTTTTTTGCGCTCGTTTTGTTGTGAGATTGCTTGCGGCACCGTAGCACTAGCATGAACTAAATATATTTTACAGTATCTTGAATATTGTAGGCACAATGTGTTTACTAGGATATTCGGAGTGTGTCACTTAGTATAATAGATCTAACTCAATTAAATATCTTTACTGAATATCTGCCATACACCCCAAGTGCGAACACGATCTTGAGTTAGGGGGTTCTTAATTGCTAATAAAACTTCCATCAGTTTTTAATAGGACATATGTGAAAGAAATGTGAAAATGTATCGTGAAACTTTAACAGTCAGCGTAGAACCTTTCCAGAATAAAGCTTTGAGTAAATTTAGATTTTATTAGAAAAACGGAACAAAACTCTTAGTAAACATGAGGAAGATACATAACACGCTCGTTTTGTACTTAGAACTCGAAGTATTTCTAAGACCAATCTAAACCAGAAAAACTACCTTACAAGTAGTTTTTTGTAACTATTTTTATTGATTGATAACTCTAATACTCTCGGTTTCAGTTTGGACCGTATGAGCCCTGTTCTGTCAGAAATGTCAGGAAATCTATATTTGCCAGAAAAGGTTCCGTGCTTGCCCTTATATATTTCAGGGACACAATTCAACAAATGAACCATAAAATTAGAATTGTATTAGAAGTCTGTTATTTAATACATTTTGTATTGTTCATTGCTTAGGCTCAGAAGATTGGAATGTTGACGGAATACCACAACTACATTGTAACAACCCTGGTAAGTCTACTTTCTGTGGCAACAAGCAAAGGCTATTGTGCTCTTCAAAAACCCTTTCTGTAATTTACAAGGGAGGCAATTTGGCAGCTATAAGAATCTGTAAATGTTTGACATGAGGAGCTGTCTTTCTTCCGTATTAACAGCTATGATATACTAAGTAATAGTAACAGTCTAACCTGTTCTGCATGCTTAAAAAAACAAAAAAAAAAAACATTGAGAACAGGAGTCATTTTGAATCTCGCATTATCGAGATAGTATTAGGTCAATATCTAAGGACTTCTTCGGTACATATTCTTGCGAAATGAAGTAATAATGCGAAAGCATTAACTGTTTCATGGAGCGAAGCCGGCGTTATCTGATATCTGTAGCAGCGAAAAACGTTGTTCGTTGTTCTGTTCGTTTTTTTTTTTTCTCATTCCTACGTCTCAGGGCTACTTTGGATATCTAAATACCGATTGGCCGAGCGAAGCGGCACCTAAATTCCAATTGGCTGAGCGGAACGGCACCTAAATTCCCATTGGCCGCGAGGCGTCATCTGGTTTCATAGCAACGGCGTCACCGTTGCTAAGCAGCGAACCGAACTGCTCACCGCGCGGCGGAAGGGGGCGGGGGGACGCGGGTATGCGCTGGGCTGACGTAAAGCAGGGAACGCATGAGCGGTAAAAACGGGCGTTGCGCGTTGATTCCCATAGAAACTGCCCATGACGCTGTGACGTGGACCTATGCCAAGCCGCCAGGTCACAGCGTGCGCGCAAGTTGCCGTGGAACCTGCCTCGGGGGTGACCGTTTTTGTTGCTCATGTGTTCGCTGCTTTAAGCATGGAACACATGAGCGGGTAAACTATGCGCCGCGCGGCGTTCGGCGCTCGTCCCTAGGCGCGTCGCAGGCGCACCGCGCGGTTTTGTATCCACCAGATCCGAGAGGCGCGGCGCCTCGTGGAAGCGACGTAGGGACACCAGCACCGGTTACTATGATACTGCCGCGCGGCGCCAGTTTTCATCGCTCATGTGTCCCCTGCTTTATGCCTAACGTTAGTCCTATCATTACGCTTTGAAGTCTAACATCGTCAACCGGTACGCGCAACTGTTTGACGTGAGGGGGGAAGGAGGGAATGCGCTGGCCTGACGTTAGGACTAACGTTACGCTTTGAGGTTTAACGTCGTCAACCGGTACCCGCAGCTACGACGATGATGGTGATGACGTGAAGACACGTGATTTGAGCACGCGCCGCGCCGAGCTTCGCGCTCCCGCGGCTCCGTCACCCAGCGGCGCAGGAGTCACAAGCGAGGAACTCTCAGCGTCGTTCAAATGGACATTAATGCGTTCGCATTCACAACTCAGAAAAAGTGCTTAGGTTTCCTCGGATTCTTTTTTTTTTTTATTTCACCAGAAGTAAAGAAAATAGGATAAATACAGTGCGATGATTATCATTGCGTTCATCCATTGCAGAGTGCAGAGTGTTCCATCTAATATGTTCAACATCTTGAAAATCAGAGACTTAGTAACAAATAAAAAACAACACACACAGGTGAAGTCTCAGATTTTCAAGATGTGAAAAATTCAACAGCTAGCGTATATTTTTTGTTATTTCTAACCTGTTGAAATTTTTGTTCATTCCACTTAGCCTTCCAATGGGTTGCCTCGTGAATATCTCGGAAAATATTACCAGCAGTGTAAAGCGAATATTCTCAGAGGCAATAGGAACATACAGTCTCTCGTATGGATATAAGTGTGGTAATTTTTGTATTTGACGGTTCATTTAACTATAAATTGATACAATAATTCCTAAACTGTAAATGTAGGACCTCCACACTGTGGATCTCTCTGAGTTTCGTTACTCCCGCACCAATCTGAGCGGATTTGAGCTTCTGGACCGAGACCTCTGGCAGCAAGATCTTGGACTGACCAAAGAGGCTTACGCGAAGACCGGCATTTATCCACTCTTCATCAGAAGCAGACCAACGAGAAGGCCATTGAGTGTGAGTAGCCGCCATATTGATTGCAGTACAAATGTAGTGATGTTTGTTTTCCTCCCCTCGCGATTGCTAACGGTACTACCGCATAATCTGATCTCTAAGTCGCAATTTTGCAGAAGTTGCACCCTGCTACAAGCGGCTGTTTTTTTTTATTAAAGGAGCTTTGCAACAATTTTAGCGTTGAAAGAATTGGCATCTTCTACTTTTGACATTGATCACCTTGTCACAAATGACAGAAAACACACCTGTTTTAATCGAAATGTTGCGATTCCGCCGCGTAATAGCGAGGCAAAAATTAGAATATTCCCCGACCTGCAGCCACGAGCGGCGGCCCTGAGAAACACGCGGCATGACGTCAATGGGGGTCTTGCAGAAAGACATCAAGTTGTGCGAATACCTGCTCGATAAACGGTAACGTTTCTATATATCTTGTCGCTCCAACATAAATATAAATGCGTCAAACACCTGGTATCATCGAGAAAACTTTTATTATACAGGGTTTTAGTGGCGCCATCTATCCTAGGTCCACAAAACAGTCAGCTCTATCTGCTACCGCGAACAGCCGCCAGAAGCCGGCGGTGGAGGGGGACAGGGCCGGACGGGTAAGGCCGGACCCGGATGAGACATTCCCCCTTTCACCACATTGTTCGCGCAGCGTCCGCCAGCACGTGGTCACGCGGTCGCGAGCGGATGAGTTCTCGCTGCTCACTGATGGCTCTAGAGAGAGAACTTTACGGGAACCCCGCGCCAACCCCATCGACGTCACTGCGCACGTGACCCGGAAGACGATGAACGAGTTGAGAAGTGGCAAAAACCTGGACCTTTTTCATTTTTTAAATAAAAACTAGGGTATCCAGGCGAAATCTGTTTTCTGTAGTTCACTTCAGAACTGTCAGGCATCAACTTCCACAATTACTTAAGCAAAGCCCTGAAATTGTTGCACAGCGCCTTTAAAAGAAGAGTTGGTACATAGGTCGCACGTATATATATATATTTGTATGGTCGGCGCGTCGAAACTGCAATAAAAACCCCTATGTATTGTAATCGCAAAGTGTGTGCAATCGACAGCAAGTTTCAATATTATCGCCAACAAACCGAACGAAGGGTATAACTTTAGTGGCAAATTTCCGAAATTAAGTTTCAAACATACGAAAAAAATCCATATAAGTCACGCCGTTGTACACTACACACGAACAAAAAGCTATGAAAAAAAGCGCGACTCATACATTGGAAAGTGCAGTAGCTGTGCGCGATAGCCTGGAAAGATAACGCGCGGACAGTGCTTTCTGCCAGACAGCTCTTTTTCAATGTTCGTCTCTTCATTCGTTCAGACTCTCTAGCCTTTTTCCATGTAGCGCGTGCGGGAGCTACTCCAGCGGCTTACCGCATAAAGGGAAGGGTGTTTTCCTTCCTTGGGAGGGGGTGGGGATGGAGCAACGAAGTGGCTCTTCCCTTTCTTCTGCCGGCCTTTGCTATTTATTGCTTGTTAATACAATTAATGTTGCTGCTAATTTAGGTAGAAAAAAGTTCACGCACTTAGACGGGTCAATACGCCAAAAAGTAAAGCAAAACGCTGAGGTGGAGCTCATACAATGTCTACCCAAAAGTGATCAATATCTGCGAATTTACTAAAATCCAACTGCTAGGATTTTGTTTTGAACAAAAATGTAAAAAAGAATAAAAACAAAACAGTATCAAAATTTTCACATATAGCATTTCGAAGCAAACACTAAAAAACGCTACCTACAAAAAAAAAAACACGTCTGTACGTTTGTGCCGTTCCTTCACGCAGTCAGCACGATCGAACCAGTTATCATGCTCACTCAACGTTTTGCAAAAAAAAAAAAAAAATGCAATGCAACTTTTTAATGGCGATGTATCAAACATACTTTGATCCGACGTACATTTTTTTTTTTGAAGGTTAGTATCATCTTGCATTATTTGTGATGACGGATCAATACAAACCACATCAATTAGCTGTTGGTTTTAACAGATTTTTAGCAGTGTTTTTACTGAGAAGAACGTGTTTCCACATCCTGATGCCATTATCTCAATTACCGAAAATATAATGAACGCTCTTGCCATTTATAGTTACAGAGTTGAGTGTGCCATAGTTCGCTTGGAAACTAACTCTAGCCCAGGTCCCGACGGAATCTTTACTAAGCTTTTAAAATTAACCAAACAAGTACCTGGAGTTCTACTGTGCAGGCTGCTCCAACAGTCCCTCTTTAGTGGTCAACTACCTGATGTCTGGAAAGTCGCTTCTATTATTTAAATTTTCAAAGCCTGAGATATAAATAATTTCGATAACCACACACCCATATCGCTCACTTCCGTTTCATGTAAAATTTTAGTACATATACTTTCATCCAAGTTTCTGACCGGCACATCTAGTAACAGCCTTATTTTTTCCAATCAGCATGTGTCCTACCGATGCTAATTTTTATTAATCTTGCTAAAGCTTTTGATCGAGTTCCCCATAAGAGACTAATGTACAAATTAGAAACTGTGAATACAAATGCTTGTGTTATTCAGGGGATAAGTGGATTATTAACGAACCGCTCTCAATTCGTTGTAATTAACAACTGTGTCTCCTTTCCTATGCCGTTAAAGTCTGGCACCCCTCGGTCCGGTATTGTTTCTTCTATAAAAAAACGACCTTCACTGTACCATTCAATCTACCATACGTTTCTTCGCGGATGATTGTGCCATTTATCGGGTCATTTCAAACCCTTTCGATTTTCGCATCCTCCAGCGGTACCTAAACATAATCCAGCATATGTGCACCACATGGTTAATTGAAAAAAACACTAATAAAACTAAAGCTGTCACTTTTACAACGAAATTACACATCACTCGTCACGTGTACATGATTGGAAAGGACCGCAATAAAAACGCTACGCGAATTAAATACATCGGCGTCCACCTAACAGCTAACTGATCATGGAACCCTCATATTGAACATATAACCCACAAAGCATCCAGGAATCTTGGTTTTTTTCTACGCTCTTTATTTCAAGCTATCGAAGAAACAAAACTCATCTCCTATGCTACTCTCGTCAGGTCGCATTCTGAAATTTGCATCCAATATATGGCACCTTCATCGGCTCTACTTAACTAACCATATTGAGGCACTTCAGAATAAAGCTGCAAGATTTATAGCCCGCGACTTCTCCCGCGCTTCCAGTGTGTCTAACATAAAACGTAACCTCAACCAAACCCAGCTGTACTACAGAAGAGGTATTGCTCCCATGTCATTTTTGCAAAAGCTCTATCATGAATTATCTCCCTTTAGGGCCTCATTCATTCAGCCTGATTATCGTATTTTGTCTCGCACAGATTATCACTTTAAAGCATCGCCCATCTTCGCCCAAACTAACTTGCTCAAAAACTCCTCTCTGGTTCTTCCCATCTTCGTATGGAACAGCCTGCCTAGAGAAATCGCGTTCATCACTTCACCTGATATGTTCATTACTTATTTTAGTATATGTATAGACTGATCAAGTGCTGCTTTGTGTTATGTTTCCACCCAGTGTTCTCGTTATTCATATCGTTTATTGCTTGTTTGACTTTGTCTATGCCAACGATGTAATCGTTTTTTTTTTTCTTTTTTTCTACTTGACCCAATTGTACCAAACTTTATACTATCGCTTTCCCTTCTATTTAAGGCCCATAAGGGCCTTTAGGGTAAATAAATAAATACATACGACTGAATGTATGGTGTTATGTTAAAATATGCACGTATTTAATTTTTTTTTCTGCTGAATATTTACTTTATAACATTGTACCACTAAGAGGCGGAGAAGGCATGTATTTATCATTATTGTGAGACACATAATATTATAAGTTGAACGCATGAGTGGAAAAAACATCCAGTATATGTCGTTCTGAAATTGCAGAACAACTAATGTCTCGTTTTATTGAGTGGCCTTTCGCATACAAGGATCGTTATTTATGCTTTAACAGTCGGGAGACGTTTCCATATTTCTGCATTGCAAACTTACTGCTAAATTACTCTGAAAATATGATACCTACATTTCTAACGAGGAGTGCCAGATTTGTATTCTCTCACTAGGTTCAAGTGAAGGAAAGTTTGAATTGATATGATAAAGCAGCCATAATTAACAAGGAACAAGGAATAACAAGGTTCAAGTGAAGGAAAAGAAGGAACAACGAACATAATTAACAATTTTCTAAGAAATCTCAGAAATGAAATCTGAACCACAATCGCGCATTGTGATTCAGTTTGGATGAAGTAGGAAATGAGTTAACGATATTTTATATTACGCACTACTAAATTCAATTAAGAACTCCGCGAGGGTTGAATAATGTAGCACACACTCTTAGCAAAAAAAAAATTGAGTTTTCTTTGCTCGCATTTATCCTAAACGTCAAACGATTTCTTGACCATGCCTGCAATGCATGCATAAAAAGACGGTTTTACATCAGAAGTTTATTTATGAGTATACAGGGTTTACAGTAGCGATAGACTCGTGTCTTATGAACAAGGCCCGCCCGCGCGTCTACTATCCCGCAGAGAACATCGGCGCTACATCCACTCGTTCGGTAGTAAAATCCTCGCGAAAAAAGGGATCTGCGCGGATAGCACTTTACGTGAGGACGCTATCTTTTTCCAATAAGTCGCTGGAATACTTCTGTCAAGCTCAATGATTGGATATTCGCGTTTTTAGTCTAGAAAGTGGATACGCGGGCTTTGTTCATAACACAGTGCGTCTCTTATTTAAGTAAATACGGTAACGGAAATAATTGATGCCACCTTTCACAGGCATCTGTCAAGCTGAGGCTCAATCTCGTCTGCAATCTTCAAGTGGGCGCACACTCTGTGTCCGACCACTCCTTAGCGGAGGAAGTAAGATTAAGTCCCTTTCAGTCACGGTCGTTGCTATAGCTACGCTGCAACGTACGCATTAGGGCTGATGCCACGCTTATCCGCTAATGGATTTATGGCAAAGCTTAGGCTTAGGCGCAATCAATAGCGTCTGCGTGAAAGGGCAGCCTTCGTCCTACTCATAATGAGGAAAGCAAAACACGTTATTGGGGAAACACTCGAACGGTCATTATATCGCAGAGGAGAACTGCTGTAAAGAGATCATGTTCATCAAAAAGCCGGATACAATTTTTTTTGTTGTGTGAATTATTGAAATACGGACGTCGTGCTTTTCAAACAAAATGTCTTCTTGCAGATGCAATCGCTTTATTTGAAAGGAGTGGCATAAATCGGCGATACTTCGGATAAACATTAAGGTCTCTTTTCAAAACATGCTACATGGTACATGTAATCAACAAGATATGCGAGGCACATAGAATGCAACGATATACGTGCAAATAATAGAAGGAATGTGTAAAAGGACACAATAGAAAAACCCAATACTAATTTATAATCAATATTAAAGATTATGCCACAGTAGCATATTGTGTGACCTACATTCGACACAATATTTGAGTTTGAGAAAGCAATGATGTGTCTTTAGTCCACAATAAATGAATTGTCGATCTCCCTAAAATAATTTAAAATAGTTGTCTATTAAAATGTGAAAGCCTGACGTCTGCACGATTTTTTGTGTTGCAAAAGAGTGTAACATGATTATTTCTCATATAATTAAACAGTCAGTCGATCATGGTTTCCACAAGCCAGACATATTGTTTATGACGTTAATTATGGCACATGTTTTTTCTTTGGCTCAAAACAGTAACAATGGTATTCTATCTTGTAAACTAAGTGCAAAATAAACAAAAAAAAAACTTCTAGACTTAATTATAGACAGACCATTAAAAAAATGTCCATGCTTAATGGGATAAAACGCTCGTCCAACAGATAGTGGCAAATACAAATTGCTGCCGAGATGTCGATCGATTGGATATATACAATATCTAAATCCTAGAAATGCGGAATGCATAACAAGTTTAACTAACACCGATACGCAATTCAAATCTCTATCAGAATTAAAAGAAACATGAAACGTTATTTTTTCTTCTAATCTTTGATGATACGGGTGATTTTGCAACTAGCTTTAGCGTAAAATAAGACATGTTTGCATTTTTCTACAAAACACCATAAATATATAACCCATAGGTTATATATTTATGCCTTGTTCCCCACTAAATTTGTATCTACGCGTATAAGTATGTAACAATCACAGTATTGCTTAGTTTTTTGTTTGCCTTTGCAGCTTAATTCAGCGCTGTCCCAGGATGCCCTGTATCTGTTTGTGGGTGCCCTACAAACCCTGGCAAGGAAGAAATCTCTAGAAAATCCTCCCGGCGTGCGTTGCGATGCCGAGTTTGTTTCTAGATCTAGGACGCAAGCTAGGTCACTCGTTGAAGTTGTAAAAAAGGTAAGTTTTCTTGTAAGCAGTGCAGCTATTGTCGGTCGATTCTTATTTAAACGATAATTTAGTTTGCATAGCTTATTTCACGCGGCAACGTTAAAATGTTTAGAGCCATTATGATTTTAATGGTACGTTTAAAATGTGACCGAAATGCTCAGACAACTATTCAACAAAGAGTATCTCACTTGACTTTACGATTCAGTTCGGCTAACTTTCGCCATTTGTGTGTGGTCGTCGTGATCCAAGCAAAGGCGAACTGTGGCCCATTTTTAACTAATCGCGGTAGCACTCTGTCGCATGCCGTTCTCGCTGGTCAATTTGTTTTCCTTATGCTTTTCGCTTGTTTTATGTGCGGCAGGTTATTAATATGTGTATTTTATTATCTTTGTGAATATTCTAGTAAGAACAAGAACGGACTGGACGGCTCCGCGAGGAATCGCGTGAGCGACAGATTTATATGTACTACCGGAGTCCAAGAGTGGGCGCTGAATCATGTGGAAATGAAAAGAGCGTTTCTATATGTATATTATGACCTCACTATGTTGGTAATAATATGCGTAATACATGTTTGTTCACTTGGTAGGCTGTACACGACAGCAACTGGAATATTTCGTTATCAAAGATAAATAACAATTAAACAAACATCTATATCTTATAGACAAAATGCACAGTCCAACATAGTTGAAAAAAATAAACGGAGTAATATGTAGCGTCCAGAAAACAAATGAAATTTTAAAACCCTCTGCCCGGATCTGCAACCTCACTATGTACAGAGAGGCAGTTCTAATGGGTACGAGCACATCGTAAAGCGTTTGCGTTGCGCTATGGGTTCAAGTATAAACACCTCCGTTTGTTGACACCACTGAATGTATTCATCGGAACAATTTGGCACGGTAGCATTTAGCGAGGTTCATTCTTTTTTTATTGACATTTGGATTCAATAAATACTCGGAGAATGAGGCTGTTTGCGGAGGTATTTTATATATTCGTGTATACTGCCAGGATACAACCGAACGGTAACGAAGGATAGCATGAAAATAAACAGAAGGCACGAAATTTGATAAACTATAAACACACAGCACTGGAATTATAACTACTGAATAATAAAGTTCTTCATAAGCGCTTCTCTATTCAAATGGTCAGTACCAACCAAAGCCGAGTTAAGGAGTCATGATAAAAAACATTTAAGATAAATATTATTATTAAAATCTTCGTAACTGTTTTAATATATACACACCACGCTTCACGATGTTTAAGACTCTAGTTATTCGAAGAATGCTTGTATGAACGCTAATCAATTGAGTCTGGTAACAGAAAACACTTAAAGGAATCTAATGTTACCCGCCCATAGTGACCCACGCAGGTGTCTATAAGCTCCCTGATCTAAAAGACAAACTATCTTATTATTAATTGGCTTGCTACCCCTACTTGTCAGGTGTATTGATACTAATCGTGAGGAAAGCTAAGTACTGCTAGTTAGAGCGGAGCTAGGTGGGGCATATTTTTAAGTGGTGCCAGCTGCACACTAATAGACAGAAATTTACAACCGCAGGACAATCCACTATATTGATGCCTTCTTCTTCCTTCACCATTATCAGTGTTTACAACCTGGACTGAAGCCCTCTCCTTCTTTATTTACAAACAGAATTTAAGCCTTCTTCCTCTGCTTCTATACCTATTTACAAATGAGGAGCTAATTCGTGCCCTTCAGGACCCCCGCAGAAACTTTTTTCTCGCTTGTGCAGCTCCAGGGAAGGCGCACTGACACATTCATCTTCTTATCGATGGCCAATCAGGGAGACATCTACCAATCCATTGTCGATAATGCCGGTGCACGGCAGTGTAAAAAACATCAAGGTTTCGGAAAAAAAGAAAAAAACTGGCTCGTGAAAACTTTGAGGCATTGGCCATCGATGGAAAAGAAGATGAATGTGTCAGCGCGCCTTCCCTGGCGTTGCACAAGCGGGAAAAACTGTTTCTGCGGGGGTCATGAAGGACACGAAGCAGCTCCGCGTTTGTAAATAGGTACAAGAAGAAGAAGGCTTTAATCCAGTTTGTAAATAAGGAAGAAGAGGGCTTCAGTCCAGGGTATAAATACTGATAGTAGTGAAGAAGAAGGCTTTAATATATATGATAGTCCAGCGGTTCAAAGTTTGTGTCTTTTAGTGTTGAGCTGGCACCACCCAAGGAAGCTAAGTACTCTCGCTGTCTGTACCTACCAATTGCACCAATTTATTTATGCACCGATTTTTTTTTCTGGAGCATTAGGTGATTTCTTATTCCGTGAGCCAAGCCCAACTTTCTGCTGGCTCAAAACATGACACAGAAGTGTTCGGAAGAGGCTGGGCGCTGCGCCACCCTGCCGTTAGGGGACGCTGGCGGGGTGTGCCCAGATGAAGTCACGGTCCACGGACGCTTACAATCCGGCGGCCATACAGGTTGGGCGAATCCCAAGCTCAAGGATTAAATTAAATTTATCACCGAAACGAACGTGTTGCTTACCTGTAGAGCAAATATGTAGACACAAGCAATGAATTCGGGCGTCATGGTCGTTTTAGAATTTATTCTTTGTGTGTCATGACACCTTTGACAATAATTTGTAAACGCATGAAGGGTTGTCGAAAGCAATTTCTTCTCCCGTGATTCAAAATTTTCAAGTAAACTAATTATGTCTATAGACGTATGAAATATAAGAGGCGCTGTAAAGTATTTATTGACTTTTGTGAGATGAAAGTGAGAGGATGGACTGCCCTCATATATTATTGCTTCAGATGTGGGTTGATACAAAGACACGCTATTGTAGTCCCTGTGCAGGTGACCTCACTTCACGCCACAAAAATTGTGCGGTCGAATATAGATGTTTTGACAGACCTTTGTATAATTTAAGGCTTTGTGGAAATGTTAGAAATGCGTGAGCATTAGTTCTTCCGGCGACGGCGACGGCACAGCGGCAACTCAGCTCGCCCGCACTACAAAGGGCCTTCCTCGCGGGGCCTCCTGCTCTGTGGCTCCGCGCCAGCTGTGCGACGCTTGCATTGGTCCGAAGTGATGACGTCAGCACACGTCACCCTCCCCCTCTCTCCCCTTCTCGTGACTTCATGCATGCCACTGACAAACAAACTCACCGACTGACATCGGCACGTTTTCGTCGAAGCGAGCGTTCTAATGCTCACGCATTAAGAAAAACGAGGGTCATAGCCTCCTCTATATAGGGCCGGGGGGGGGGGGGGGGGGCTGCATTCTCAAGGGCGGAACCGGCCGAAAAAACTGAGACAGAACGACAGAACATGATAGATTGATGATAGAAAGGCGGTGGCGCGCTCAGGGATCCACGGACGCTTCGAAAACTCTCCTAAATATCTCGATTGATTCTTGTTTGCGATAACAACACAAAAGTTGCACGTCTTTTTTTCCGTAATTCATTCATACATACGACTGGCCTCTCCCTCTCTCTGAGCGCATCCTCTTACTCCTACAAGGAAAGGAGTGTAAGCAGTCGCTTTTATATTTAATGTCTCCTGCAAAATACAAAAAGAGTGGTTAGCCTTACTGCAACTGTGCGGCGCTCTCTTGCTTTACTTGTCGCCTTCTGTTCCTGCTATTTATTCCTCTGGAGTAATGGGCGCAGGCCTTTCCCTCATATGGGAAGCTATGTCAGGACTCACCACTTTCTACTCTTCCTAAATAAACACTGAACTCCTGAAAATTTTATTTGATTGGACAGATGATGTATAGTGCTCAACGAAACGAAATGGGCCAGCGTAGCGCGTGGCCACGCCAGAGGCGCATATGTAGAGTTTGGTCATTAACTGTAAAGAGTAGCGCAAAACAAGGACACGTCAATGGCCGGAATTGTTTCAATGACCTTGGGTGCGATGATTGACAGCTTTTGTTACCAACCACTGGCCACAAAAGTTCCACTATAGCGGAGCCAGTGAGCTTAACAAATACCCTCCAATCGCAATTTTTAGGTGAGGATGCATTCAAGTATTTCTTTTCAGCTTGCTAGGGTTGAAATTAGCGACTCTTTGTAACTGAAACAGCAACGCACGTGGCGTTGCCGTCACGACAACATTCAGATTTTGGTTGCACTCACGGCCACTGCAACTGCCACGACGGACTAGGGCGGTCAAAAGTGCGGACTCGGCTCCCTGGGAATTTGACCCCAACCCCGAACGAGCAACCCACATTCGCAGTTGCTTTTCTTTTTTCAGAAAAACTTCTCGTCACTGCCACTTTTTTGTCTCAGTAAACGCACTCAGCACCTTGAAACTCTATTTCTCGAGGTGCTCATTTCTTTATAACTTTAACCTTTGGAAGTCGTAATTCTTTTTCCAATAACTTTGTTTTCGGAGGATGATGATTTGGTGACAAACGACTTTTCCGGTAGCTAAAAAAAAAATATTTTTGTGTGCAGGACTTTGGCATTCATTGACGCTTTCACTAAATATAGGTTACACATTTTTTTTTCACTGAGACAAGCATATAAGTACTTTGAGAGGAATTTATATTTCGGCCAAGTTATTCATGTCATAGCGCTGGATCGGTCCCGTAATGACTACCTTAAATTACTTAGTGCGTAACCAAGACTCGTCGCCTTGAAAGTCGCTCGTTTCTTGACAGTTCGCGTGCACCGCAGTGTCTCCTTTTTAGGGGTGAGTATTAAAATGTCCATGTGGGCAAGTTGGTTTGTGACTGAAGAAATTATTATGTAGAGTGCAAAACACAAAGACCAATGTATTAGAGTATACTACATTAGAAACCCTAAAGGTCCTAAAAACCCTTAATGAATTTAAATATGTCGGTGTATACTTTACATCCGATCTGCGATAGAATGCGAATGTTAGCTATATTTTCTTGAAAGCTTCACGGATGCTAGGTTTTCTGCGTCGAAAGTTCAAAACTGTACCTGAGTTGCTCAAAGAAACAATTTACTTTTCACACGTTCGTTCTATTCTGAAATATGCTTGAGCTGTCTGGGATCCTTACACCGCCTTTTCTATAAA